TATTCTTTAGTCGTATGTAATAACTCCGTTTTCTTTCAGCAAAATACTCACTCTTAGGTTGCAGGCCCCATATTTCGACATGGAAACAGAGGCGTTCCTAACTCGTCGAGAAGAGAATGACGACAAGCACGTTCAGATGATGCAGCAGCTTGTGGATTCCTACCAGCATGGGGGCACATCTGTCGAGGATCTACACCTGGCCTGCACCCTCGATCAGTCTTATTACACGTCGCTTATAGATTCAAGTGACAGAGACCGAGACCAGGTGGCTTTCCGTTTCCATTCAAGGAGGCAAGACCCGGTGTCGCAAAGGGATGATTCCGGAACGACGAGTGACAGCATGATAGAGCCGCACAATAAGCCAATTCAACCCACACGGCCGCAGCATATGAAGAAAAGACTGGCTAAACTCGTGATGGTCAGCCAACTGTGGTTATGGAAAATTGACCAAGGTATATATCTTTGCAACATCCCCACGCGCCTTGAATTCTAATCAAAATGGTAGATATCATCATCACCGCGTTACCCGAACGCTGGCATGGGGGTTATGAGAAAGACATTCTGGGTCACATACTGGGTAACATATCTGACTCCCCATCATCTTCGTTGGATCAAATGATAGAGAATATCCTGCAGAGTTGCATCGGATTCGTCGACGCGCCATCAAACGCAGGCCTCGACGAGAACTTGTTTGATATCTTTGAGCAAAGTATCGCGAAAGTGGTAAGTAGAATAATGGAGTTCTAGATATCCAAATACGCCATTGCTAAATTGTGTCCAAGGCCAATAACGAAACGATACGATATAAGAAATTTTGTGAACACCAGCAACAATGCGCAAAGATGAGCCTCAAAATCAGGAAAGGCAAGAAAATATCTCCGAGGGAACTAGAATCCTTTAGAGACACAGAAGATTTGATTTGTGACATCACCGAGGAAGTGAAGCATCTCGAAGAGATTAAAGACATTCGGGACGAACTGAGGATGATTCAACGGGTTCTCGAAGACCAAAGGGCTGTCCTCGAGAAGTATCGTTCCGAGGGACATAGGAGTTTGGGCCCTGACGAGCCAACAAGTCTCTCCTTTCGGCAAAACAAGGCGAGAAGACTTTACAGCGAAGCAGAGTCCGTAGAGAACTCAGTAAGTAACCGTGGAGAGACTGCTTTAGACATGACTCTAACTGCGAATACTACCTAATAGCTCAAGAACTTGCTTGACTTGAAACAAAAGCAAGGCAATCTAAACGAAGCTAGAGATACACGAAAGCTGGCTGATGAGGCGGACAAAAGAGCACTAGCCGACAAGACTCAGTCAAAGCTGCTCTTCATCTTCACGTTTGTCACCGTTATATATGTAAGATCAAAGCTCAGTACCCCGTTTCGCGCTGTTTCTAACAAGATAGACCCCTCTGGCATTCATCTCGGCCCTTTTTGCTGTTCCTAGCTCAGACTTCCCTCGGGACAGCGACGGTGTTGGCGCTGGATGGCGATGGTGGCAGATCATTGCGGGATCCTGTAAGCCCAGCCTTATTCCTAAGAGTATCCCCAGCTAACTATCGTCCCTTCAAGTCGTTGCTGAAATCGTAACGTCCTTGGCTATCCTTGGGTATTGGCGAGGGCTCCAGTATGGAGAGGACAACGGGTCGAAGCGCTCAGGTGGTCGAACTATTAAGTACGCTGCCCCAGAAGCAAGACCGTTGAAGGGCTACGAGCTTGATATGGAGAAGCGAACCCCGGCTCACATGGTCTAGTTGACGAGGCCGCGCTTGTGTATTGTAAAATGAACCTGGGACAGTGCAAGTTAACTTGTTTTTCTTGCTCTGCTTGATTGAGACGTATTACTAGGGTCGTACCTAATTTCGTTGAGCCCTGAATCGGACTTTTCATGCAGAACTGGTAGTTTGTTCGTTGAGTCCAACTCAAGCTTTCCGTTAATTAGTGCAACAATACGAAACATGCCTCTAGAGGCAAGAAGTGTCATCGTTGGTTCTATACCTCCTAAGCTACCCCGATCGTAACATTAGACATTTTTTCAGTGAGCCCCCTATTCTGATATCACGCTCCTTTCCTCTCTACCCCTTCCCTCCTCTCTATATCCGCCCCCCCCCTTTCCTCCTCTTTAGGCTTTAGCCATGGGTACCTACCGCCCACGACGACCTATGAATTTTCTTGGTAATATTTAAATCCGTACCAATCGTGTACCAATCTTTAATTCAAAACCTGCATTAGAATAACTTTATTGCCATATTACGTAATACACCAGCTGTTACCACTTGGAACCATCTGTTCTCAGTCCAAACGATCCATTCATATCCATTCAGTTCATCCGACAACTGCACAAGCCAACACATCAAATCTCTTCTGATTAATTCTAAGAACTGTTCGAATATTGACTAATTGAAGAAGTTGCGTGTACAAACGGCCGTAGACTCTGAAATTGTCTTTCTGGTAGGAGATCCGTGAGATCTAGCCATTATGTAATCTCCCAATTGTCAACAACAATTACCATCTGCAGCCAGTTGTAGCCAATCCTCCTGTTAGGTCTCGCAAGATCCAACCGATTTATTTATGATATCTGACAGAAGCTTACCCTTCCCTTAATCAAGCTCTTAAAAGAACTTCTCCCACAGAGCGGAAGCTGGGCTCTTTAACTCAGGTTGTCATTAATAACAATTGGCAATTATGATGAGTACTTGTTATATTACCTTGGAATCGCTGCGGATGTATTTTCTCTTGCATTTTTGCCGAAGAAATCATTGAGGGCAGCTGAAACATCTTCAGTAACGGCTTGTTTAGTCCCTGAAGCAGGCTGCCTACAACAAAGGCCGCAAATAGGTCTGTATGTACGTCTGCCTGGCCATGCCCGGCATATCCTCGGGTTGAAAACACCCAATACATTTGATACGAGCACAGCTGAAAATACACTACCTACCTACATGTAGGTATAGATCATTCGGGGTAATCTTTTCTTTTCGGGTACCTAGCGGCTGCCTAGGTAGTCTTCATATCATCAATGTTGCTAACTTAACCAACTTACAGAGTGCACCTGTACGATATTTGCGGTATGAGCTCTATCACGACGCGGCGCTTCCCGCCTACAAATCTTGTCATGATGGAGTCACTACCCGTCGAAATCCTCATGGAGATCTTCAGCTACTTTTGCTTTCACTGTCAGCACCGCGAGCTCTTTCCCAACGCTGACGTCGGCGAGGTTCGTGGTGATAAGAAGGTCCTGGCTTATCTGTGTCGGACATCCAAGGCCATGTGCGCTATCGCGCAGCCCATATTGTATCACTACTACGCGACCGGGAATAGTGGAGTGGAAACGAGGCTCTACAAGGGACACGATAAGATGAATAATCGCCCAAGTGAACCCGACCTCTTGCCGCAGTTCATCAACACCGTCGCACAGCGTCCCGACTTGGCATCGCAAGTTACTACTATGCATATCGTGCAAGGGGATTTTGTATCTGGGTTCAAGAATCAGATGCGGACCATCGACTCGCTGAACAAATTCAGCGCCGCGGGGAACATCCTCGTAATCCCCTATCCACCCGACGATCAGCGGTTCCGTAATGATGGAGGATGGTCTGCGTGGAGCTGGGGAGTGTTGCATATATGGCTCGCGACGCTCGCCGTGGGACTAACTCCGCGACTGGAGAGGTTGCTGCTCACGATCGACTGCACCGCTCCAGATTGGCCGCTGGACTTCTCCCGTCTAAAACTACCGTCTTTGCGGACGTTGGGTCTGGTAGGTTTTAAGAGTGACTGTCACCTCAACAAGCTGAAGGCGCTCTTTGCCGCGGCGCCGAATCTCGAGACCATATACGCATGCGACGTGGAGGCTTGGTTTAAGTTCGCCAGCAAATATGAGCTAGCACCGTCCATCTTAAGGAAGCTAGTTATCTCGAATCTATTCCTAGTTAGCCTGGCGTGCTGGCTACCGTGCGTTCCGAGGCTAGAGGAGCTAGAGTATTATTGGGATGGGGAAAAAGAGTACAGCCACGCTGATCTGGTGGGCATGTTAGAGCCCGTGCGGAAGACGCTCAGGAGGCTTTGTATCGAGTTCCTCCGTATAACGCGGAGTCTAACCTGATTCCGATGTGGATCGAACCGCCAAGTGTGTCTATTCCTCCTCTCCGGCCTCTTCGCCAGTTCGACAACCTCGAAGAACTCTCGATCAGTTGCTTCTCGATATATTGGGAGCACGAGCCCGACGACAAGAACCGGCTTGTCATGCTACTCCCGCGGTCAATCCGGAGGCTAAGGATCTCACACATGTACAAGGGTATGGAAAACTCACTGTCTCAGCTTGCCGCGGATGCGCCGCGCGATTTCCCATTGCTTAAGAAGGTCGTGATTGGAATTGCAGAGAGGACGGATCCGAGATACGACGATAGTATCGATAAGACAATCGGGCTCGGTCAGTTGTTTTTCACGGCGGGCATCAGGTTTATCTGGAAGAGAGATCTTCTAGGGCCTGACCCCAGGACTATTATTCCCGGTGCTATGGCTGGGTCGAGCTTAGTTCCCGTAACGCGGGTCTTGGATGAAATTGAGGATTCAGAGTTGGACAATAAGTCCAGCTAAGTAGGGTAAATCTATACGACCAACGTACTAACTGGAAGCATTGAGCAAGATACCTAATGACGACGTTTAACGCGCCCTATAGAAACTCTTCAATTTAAATTCAAGAGAAAAGGGGTACGAATACGGACTGTGATATAAAAATAAATCTTGGCGGAGTCGAGCTTGATCTCTTTTGTCGTAGGTATGTTACCCATTCAAAGTTAGGAAGGCAAACATAGCGACTCGGCCAATGTGGTAGAACACAAACAGGATAAATGGGAGACATGGAGAAAATATTCCGGCTCATCTTCGAGCACCATGATAGTGGTAATCATTAGTGAGGCAGGTGACAGAACCTAGCGGGGTAGGTAACCTGCCCGATAAGGGCAGCCATATATAACAGAATTGTACAAGATTCTGCCATAATCGGTTAGCCCGTATAGCTCAGTGGTAGAGCGCATCACTCGGTTAGTGCATGTTAAACACACCACAAATGGAATTTCGGTAGCTAATATTCAGTAGTATCTCTGTGCGAAATGATGAGGTCCATCGTTCAATCCGGTGTGGGGGCATGCATTATTTTTAAACTATTTTGTCTTCTCGTCTTTTTTACGAGCCACACTAGGTGCTCCTCATAGGAAATCTTACTGCTTGGTACCTAGGAAGCGGTAGCCAGATGGTTAACGACACATAATCAATACCACTAATCTGAAGAACTGTGCTATTTGCAGGCAGTTGCCGGCAGGCGTTCTAAGCAGCATCATTTAGATAGGGGAATTTACACTGTCCAAATAACGCAACTCAATCTTAATTCCACGATGCACAGGGGTTCAGGGGCACATGAAGATTCTACCACGCCAGTTGAAATACGATAATCGTCCCTAGTGTGGCTCGAGAAAGTGCGCGTCCTTATATTCCAGGGGGGACACATTTCCAGCTTGTTGCCAGGCTTACATCATTAAGACCGTCCCATTTGCTGGCCGTCGGATACGGGCAGTATGCTAGTTAAAGAGAGATAAGTATATATAATTCTGCATTGCAAGGAGAGTCAGAGAGGGGATGCTCACTTCGCTGCGCAGTAATCTTTCCTCCGATGAGATCGCCTTCGTACTTCGTTCCGACCAAGGTCTCCGGTACTACATCGTTCTCAACCCACTCAACCAGCGCCATAAGGGCATTATGTTTAGGATCCAATAATGCCTGATCGTAAGGGTACTTTTGGGCGTTTCCTATGCTCCAAGCTCCGAGGCCCCCTGAGCAATGGTGCATTCCGGGGATAAAGAATAGTCGGTAGAAACTGTGGATGTCCTCCAACGAGAGGTCCAGCGTACTTTGAACGGCAACGAAAAATCGTTCGGAGAGTGCAGAAGTTACGGTCTAAAGTTTACATGTCAACATCTATCTCAGCAAGGCGCTGGCTGCGTCTATCGTGTCATCGTTGGGTATTCATATTCAGGGGCTCACTCACCTCATCATTCCTTCCGTGGTACGAAATGATTTTCCCACCCCCATGGTATAATTTTGATAGGTCTGTCTCGCCTGCATTCACCTGTCCCGGGTTGACCTTTAAGGCAAAATCCATGTCCGACTCGCTGAAATGCTCTGGTGTCCAGCAACTGTTGTTGTAAACCGCACCACGCCAGAAATCCTGCAAGATGGTATAGCTTAATTTTGCCGTCCCATTCTCCTGGTTTTCGGAGAACACGTCTGTTTTCGAACCTAATTCGAATGCGGGATACACGATCTGGCCCGAAGTGCTGGCGATGGGCTCGTATGCCTTGCGTACTGACTCAACCTGCTGTGGGGTGAGGCACATCGAAGAATTAAGCAGGCCAGTGCCGCATGCGAGACTTGCCGAGTCGAAGCGGTGCTTCGTTGGCTCATCGATGACCCCATCTATTACTCCGTCTAGCGGGTCTAGCTGTCGGATCTGAGCCTCGACAATGGCCGTCCACTGCTCCGGACGAACGTACGCCGAGGATTTTAAATCAGGCCAACCAATTCGCCGGGCAAGGATTCCCTTTGACGCGACAATGTGCAACCAGTCAATACCCGGGCTTCCCAGGAGCAGCCCGTCAAAGTCTTCGGGATATAGATGCGCATTTTGGAACCCTTGACGACCTCCTGTGCTACAACCTGCGTAGTAGTTTTTCGCGGCCCCGATCCCGTAGTACTGACGTACAAGTTCCTTTCCGATCTCGGCTTCGACGTGGATAGCTCTGTGGCCGAAGTCGTTGATCACTTCAGGCTGGTTTAGGAAGAACTCGTACCCTTCCGACCCGTTATGTCCGGCATTCGTTCCGAAAGATGCGAACCCCAGTCCGGCTCCGTTCTGCATAGTAGCGTAATCGATGCACCCCCCGATTCCGCCATTTCCGGTAGCCAGGAGTCGGTTATTCCAATTTTGTGCGTCCGGAAGCCAGGCTTCCAATTGCACTTCACTTGACGGAGTAGTTGCCACGACGAGCACAAGCCGGCAGAGATTGGTTGTAGCATTAGCTTTGAGGTCCGGCCCGCCGCAAGATTCTACAGTTCCGGGAAGTGCAATAGTTGTTCCATTGAGCAGATAATCGTGCGCAACTATCGTAACATTAGGGATAGAGATTTGGGTACCCAGTGATGTGCAGGCGTCTGCAGAACATATCACCAGACGGACAGCAGTCCCCAGCAAGATCGCGGCGCTCCAAGTAGACGGCATCATGAGGACTACTTGTTAATTATTCAATAGAAGTAGTGTAAGCATAGTAGGCTCAGGTGAGTCAATGGCGTGGGCTTAAATACCTAAGGTATGCTTCGTGATGAGAGCCCTTACCGGATCTTTTGTGGCTAGCGGTAGGTACTCAACTTCCCCTCATGAGACTCCATCCATGACCTGGTCTAAGTAGCTCATTGCCAGGGTTGTTGCTGTATTGAGGACAGCTCCATCGTCGATTTGGAGTAGAACCGGGGGAAATGACCCGTTAAGAGGACAAGACGTCAAATTGAAGCTTTTGGCGGCGACAAGTGCCCGAACCGACGGGATTCCAAAGCCGAAGTTCTCTCCAGGTTCTCCGCATTTGTCAACTCCCCGCTGTCTCCACCTAGGTACATTCTATGACCTCAAATGTGAGGTATAGATGTAGTCTACCTACATAAATTATCATACTATCGGTATGTACGTAAGCCTCTTAGCTATAATTTTCTACTGTCTGTAAATATTATAATAAGTTATTTGTATTACCAATTTAAAAAGATGTGTTACTTTCAGAGTGTGTCGCCCCCTATTGCAGAGTGCCCTGATTTTTTATATCGACTTCTTCCCTACGGTTTACAGTATTTGTTGATTTTTATACGAACAATGATACGTTAGTAACTAGAAGTCATTCCGCGAATAGTACAGCTCGTTTTAATTAATTTATTAATAATATCCTAGAAGATGCCATTAAGAATTTCCGAATGCGCCGTTACCACGGCACGAAACCCATAGCCATAACAGTACAACCTCTACCCCATGACAGTAAAAAAATCGAATATAAGAGAGATTAGGATATAAAGCAAACCCTGCTGATGTAGTATTGTTGTCGTTTACCCCCATTATTAGAGCTCAGGCAAAGTGATGCTCATAGTCAGCTATAGAGCTCTGTCGAAGATGAGAAGCTGTTCAACCCCTTTGACCGTATGACGACAGCGACGAACTCCCAGACGATGATCCACCAGGGGCAATCTGTCTCTCGTCCTTCTGTTGATACGCATCGTTCGAACTAGAATCCCACATCAACCCCGTGCCTTTGCAGGATCGGCACTCCTTAACCCTAGTATGGAGTCCGATTAGCTCATTCTTCTGGAAAGCGTCCGCTTTCACGCCAGCTTACAGTCTTGGTGTGCCGAGGCAGTTGGTGCATGAATAAGGCATACGGTGGTCCGGCCCGAAACCATAGATCATTCTATCTTCGACTGTAGACTTCGAAGTGGTATTTTTCGACTGGGAGGACATGTTGGATCGTCTGACTCGGTATTCTTCAGAAGTTCAACTCGACGAATAGCTTAAATCTCTTAATGTGTTATAAAATCTTGAGGCTATCCACAACTATCAAAGAATCTACGGGACATCCTTTTATACACAACTCGGCACTGTGCTTTGATCATATAATCCTCGTGGCCGCCTGCAAGGTACATTACCCGAAATGAGCGGTCTGCATCGAATAAGTCCTCACCGACTCGTACCAGGCTATCTCACATGCAGTTTTCTTCACACGAGGCGATCAGATAAGGCAACCATTAGGAATTCGGAATTGGTCGAAAACAAGCCATACACGACACTTCCCCTTGCTGCCTAGACGGATACTACCAGGAAAACTACCATTTAGATTCTCTGTATGGCCCGCTGGTATAAGATATTTAAGCCACTAAAAGCTGTATTACTTTGCGTCAGGTCACGCTTGCAGCTCATATTACGCATTCGAGCCAGGATCGGCTACTTCTAACGAATAACGAAAATCCCTTGGTCCCAAGGATTTCATCAGATACTCCAAGAGTGCTCCTTCTCTGCATGTTGTGCTTCGTGATCCTCCTGCACTACTGTTGCGTATTGATGGAGATCGGTAAGGCCAATGACTGGTGCGCCCTCTAGCGGTCCGAGTTATGGCTTGTTCGGAGGCCTTTCTTCTAGAAACATGGAAGGAGCCGGATCAAGATTTTGCTGTGGGATCAGGCAAAGATCCCTCCTTAGTAGCTCTGCGCGCTGTTGGGGCTTTCCAGTCTGGCTGATCAGCTGCAAGTAGCCGTGAGACGGGCGTTTAGTTCAGATCCTATGGCGACACGTCATAAAGCCATCATCCGAGTGCAGCCACTGCTAGATGACGAAGCCGCTAATTGGCCTATCAAGCTCTTAAATTCCCGTAGCTTAATAGCAATCGTGGCGTTCTGTGCTCTCATCTTGCATCGAGTCCGACTTGCACATGTGCAGGACAACACTTGATCTGCCTCTAACCCTGTGATCTCGAACCGATGAACCGGCACGCATACGCAGTTTTCCGCAGCGTAGCAGTCGGATGATGCCCTTGGCCTTAGTACTGGATACGGGTCGTATCAATTCTATAGTATAACATAACTCCCGCTTCATTTAGGAATTCGAATTGTTGTGATACAACGGAGAAAGCCAGACAACTGCATTCAAGTTTCTGCGGTGCAACACTAAATTGCCAAAATCGATTTTAATATAGTTAGCGTTCCATGTAGTCCATCTACTGACGCCTTCTTGAATGCGAGTACTGTGATTACACTTTGTCTTAGATCGATGGAGGTGGTGGCGGCTCAATACTAGGTAGTCGTGGTGCCCAACCAGGACCTAACCAATCTATCTAGACCACCGCAGGAAACTCTCTAGTCCACTACCCTTTACTATTTCATAGCCAGACTACAGAGAGCGTTCTCATGTATCCGTCTAGATAGCTCATCAGGATTCATATGTCATAGAAAGTCCATGCGCAGGATGCCATACATCATTAGGACCGCTTCAACATGATGTAAGTTAGACGCAATGTTACACAGAGATGAAGTGCTTGAAGTTGTCCTTGTGTATACATCGGGCCTA